GAATAAGGGGGCTTACCCCGTTTTTTTTTTTTTTTTTTTTTTTTTAAATACTGAAGTATTATGGTTTAGGAATTAAAAAAAAAAACAACCTTCCAGGTTGCTTGTGGTGTCTCTAGCTTCTGTTCTTTCAGGAATAACTGCCATTAATTAATCTTTTCTTTGCTAAAAGGCAGCAGATAGTTCTGCAAATTAAACAAGGACCCCTTGTTGATGTAGTAATGCAGATAAAGTATCTTTGCCCTTGTAAGAAAGGCATTAGTGATATACTTGACTGCAAAAAAGATTTGCAAGATTATATCATGGTACTTGGCAACAAGTAATGCACAGGGGGTACAGATAACCTTGACGCTCTGCATGGAGGGATAGGTTCTAACTCAGATGCTTCCTCCGAGGAATGGCATTTGGAAGTCACTTGGGTTGCCTCCCTGAGCCTCGTGTGCTGTTTGCCTCGTCCTGCTGCGGAGCGCTGGCTGCGGCAGCAGAGCCTCCTGCCATCGTACGGCCCCGCAGCGCCTCGCCGCTGGCAACTGCGCTGCGTGCAGTGTCCAAGGCAGCAGGAACGAGAGGAGAGGGCCAGAAAGAACGGAAAGATACGGAACAGCCTCCACAGGAACCAACTAGGACGCCTCAAATGGGAAAGGGATGGTAGCCTTTAAGGTAAGACAAGACAAAAAGAAATGAGTGGACAAAAAGCAGTGAAGTATAAGAAAAAGTACAACTGAATCTACTGCCAAAGCACACTGTGGAAAGGAGTTAAGTGAAAGCATCAGGAAAGATCCACTAGCTTCTGCTAAATATCAGGATTCCTAGCTCAGGAAAAGAACTTCATCACTCCCACTTTCACAAAACCATCACATTCTTCACCAAGTTACTGCTCCAGCCAGATGTGCTGGAAAGAGCCGGGTGCTGGGAATTACTACGTGTGTTCTGGCTGCTCCCTGCCCTGCCACCTCTCCTGCAGCTGCACAGGTGAGTCTCTGCAGAAGAGGATGATGGGGCAACAGAGGAAAAGAGTGCTAGTCCAGGGCTTTGGTCCCTGTATCCCCAGTGTCCTGCACTGCATTTGAGTAAGTCACGCAGCCGTGGTTGCGCCTGGCCCTTGCGCTAGCCCCTGCCGTGCAGCGCCCCGCTCTGTGCAGCTCCTGTCGCGTTCCTGTGCGCTGCGCCTGCCCTGGCAGCCCCTCGAAGCCCCGCTGTCCCGCACAGCGTACATGCTGCTTGCACTGGACACCAGCACACGGAGCGCATGCCTTGGAAAGTGCAGCTTAGGAACAAAAGCTTTGGAAGGTCGGAAGCAACTGAAAGCACCATGATTTAGCAAAGGCTTGAACAAGTAGAGGATTCAGCTATCACAAATGCTCCAGCCACACAGAGGAAAGTTTAATTTTTGTTGCTTATGCCACATCTTAGAAGGTAGCTCTCTAGTGGCATGGGAGGTCTCTGTGAAATGCAGGACTGTACATGAGTGTCTGCTGCAGAGATTGCTTCTTCAATTCCCTTTTTATTTTTGCCTACTTGGTTCCAACAGACACACTGACAAGTGGAAGAGGTGAAATCACACACAGAAGTTCACAGTAATCTGGTTTACCTTAAAAGATACAGAATGATTTTACTCATGATCACTTCTTTCTTCACCTGCTCTCCTCCACTCTTAAGATATTCACCTTTAAACATCTATCCTCATTTCAATTCCCGAGGATGGTTGTGGGGATCTAAGCCAAGAGAAGATACCACCTCCCTGCCCCGCCGTGGGCGCACAGCAATGGGGCAGAGGCGAGACCGGGGTTGCCACATTGCTCGCTAGCGCGGCAGGCTTGGCCTAGACAAGTTTCTGGGGCTGTGCTAGTTACAGAGCTTCATCACAGAGAGCAAAGACCAGGGCAGAGGCGGCCAAAACAGTTGGCAGGTGATCAGCTGGGATCACGCTCCAGATCCGCTGCAGACTCCACTGTGTTTGCCCCACGTCACGACTGCTGAGCGCACAGCCCTGCCAAAGCAAATGGGCCCAGGGCATTTCGGTAAAATTGAGACCACAAACTAGGGGCTGTGCTGTGGGCTTGGGGGTGGTGTCTCATGAAAGGGAGAAGATGAGTTATAAGCCACAGAAGTTACTGCTCTTAAACAGGCCCTGGCTGCCGGGCACCCTAGCACAGCTGGGAGCCCCGTGGTGGCCACTGGCCCTTACGCAGTTACTAGTCTGGAGAGAAAACCCTGAGCAACTTGATGGAAGCACCATGACTGCTTGGCCTCACGAGGCTCTCAAGAACACAACACACAACTGTATCTGATGATAGGAGTTAAACTCTTTATTCCATTCAGAGGCATCTGGCAAGTGGAGCTGCATTGGGGGGCACATTACAGATGAAAAGTGATCCATACTTTGTGGATACTGAAATCATTTACAGTATTTACTTTCTAGCTATTCCCAAATACTCCAAATTACCAAGTCTCAATTGAAAATAAGAAAACAAACATGATTTACCATACTAAGTCTAGAAATTTAAGAGAGATGACAGTATTTAAATCAGCAGATGTAAATGCAGCGCATATTTGTAAAGTAACTTTTATGGAAAATAACAAAGTCAAATCCTTCTCAAATGTTAAGAAAGGAACGTCAGACTGACTTAAGCCTCAACAAAAATTAAATGCTATGACTTTTCATACTTCAGTAATTTTAAATTCATTGTAAGAGAAAAAAAAAAAAGTAGTTATCCTAAAGGCTAGATGAAGGTCACTGTCAAAAAAAGGAAAAAGAAACTCATTTTTCTCTGCTAAAACTACAACATAAGTTTGTGGTTTTTAAACCAATTAGTAAAGAAGAGATGCAGGAAAAAACACTTCAGACCATTTTCAAAATCATCTAATCTGTACAACAATGATCTTTGGGAAAATTATCTAGTCTATGTAGTAATGCCTCTATTTCAACATGAACCTAAGAGGTAGATAACAAAATGATGAAACAAATGTTTTTGCTCGTTGTGCCCCTCAAATCAGTGCAGCATGGTGATTCTGATCATCTCATGCACAAAAACATCACAAAAAAGGTTCAGAGGTAATAGCATGGCTCTGTCGACCACACGCATACAGGCGCGCACGCGCTCACACACACACACAGCAGTCTTTATGCACCATGTGTTGCCACATTTTTTTTTTTTTAAACTGAGGTAGACTGAAGTTTATTGTAGAAACTTGAATGTGTCACTATTACCACAATCATCATTCAAATTACATTCGGAAACTAAAAAATTTGGTAACTTTCCTGTTATCCCTGCCTTTTGACATTTGTTTTTTCTTCTCTAATGGTTGGTTGCAGAACGTGCATAAATCCTGCTGCATCTATTATAAGCCAGGCTAGAGAGGTGGTGGTTTTCTTTTCTTGTAATAGTTTTAAAAAAAACCTTCAAAGTGGCTTAGTGTGGCCCATAACAGCGGCTGGATATGTAAACTTAGCCTTTCCTTGTCTTTCAGTGTGATCAAACACTGCTCGACCTTCCCCCGTTGCGGTAACTGAAAGCAGTGTGTGATGGGAGGTGCGGAGCGCCGCGCTCCCGCACGCCCCGTGTCCTGTCCAACTCAACATGAAGCTTGCTCTCGGAACAAAATGGCAAAGTCCAAATGGGCTGCAAATGGGTCAATGTAGCATTATTAGGTAGTGATGGTCAAAGGCACAAAGGGTTCATGCATTCAATCAAGTAGCACAAAAAAAAAATAAAAAGAAAAAAAGAAAAAAAAAATCAGCCTCTTGCAGCCTTCTAAATTTTTCCCCCAACCCCAGCCTCTTGCCATCACTTCCTTGTCCTGTTCCCAAAAAAGTACCGTCACAAACTTTTTCATCCCATCTTAAAAGAAAACTAAACGGCATTGCTGCTATCAGAATGTTGGCATCATTCACTATCTTTTGAACATTCACTGAATTTTCCTAAACAAACGATGGTGTTGAAGCCCTCAGGAAATCTGAGGCTGTTTTTTGTATCCACCTTACTCCTGTCAGCCAGCAGCTAGAAGTGCTCTACTATATTTTTTCCCGATAAGCCTGTAGTACTCCTGGCTGGTGGCTGATCAAATTTTAATTTTTTTTTAAAAAAATAAAATGCTCAAGAACTATTAGCTTTATAAAGTATAAAAAAAACCAAAAAAAAAAAAAAAGAAAAAAAAAAGAAAAAAAAGAAAAAAGGAACAATTTCTCATTGAAAGACTAAATGCCTGAGGTAGTTTAGTAAAATGCATATTTATCTTTTTATGCCCTGGCCAACACCATTCAACACTTCCCTTAGGTTATTCATGGCAGTGTTATGTAAAAATGCAACCAAATTCTTTTTAAAAAATGCCACTTGTTTCAACACTGGGACTAACACTTAAACTCTTGTCGATACCCTTGCTCTATCCCTAGCCCACCCAGAATCCCACCCTCCAAATGTGTTCCTTTTCTTTAGAACGGGACCTATAAGAGCAATGCCTTTTTTGTTTTTTTTTCCTTAAACCAGTGAACTCAGAAGAGAAAGCTTCATTAGACCAAGTTCTAAAATTGTTGGGGAATAATAAGAACAATAAAAAAGACTAACAAGTTTATGTTAAATTGTGAGAATAGAACAAAAGGGAAGTGAAGGGGTCCTTATTTTAAAGCTGGGTTTCAAAAGTTTGAGAGAGCCTACAGAATACATTCTCAGAGACAGCGTTCAGCGTTGCCTGGTCCTCGAACAGGTGATTGGCTTGGTGGATCTTCTGCATATAACTCCAACAGGTGCTCGCCACCCGTCGCTCTGTCGCACAGTCTGTCTTTGGTCTGGCATCTGTCTCTGATGGGCCATTTCCTAAACCTTTATTTCCGTCTTGGCTGAGGCTGTCCACTTTGCAATGTTTTTTGCTGTTGCTGCTGCCTTCTTACCTGAGCCAGAATTTCCTGAATTTTTCTCTGAGCAAGCTGAAGGACACAAAGAAAGAGAAACAATCATCACGTTGGTGCCTTGCTCCTCACAGAGGAATTGAGACACGCTCCCGGGATACGGGAGATCTGCAGTAACCGATTTCCTCCTATCAACAAACAGCTTGGTTTGGTGTAATACACAACTAAATTTTGAACTTTTCTTCTTTTTCCACCTATTTTAACTACCTGCATGATCAGTTTTCAGACATCACGAACATCAAGGAGATGACCACTAATAATAAGACTACTTGAAGGCTGACTAATGGACATTTCAAGGTAACTCCCATCTGATGTCTCCAGAGACACTAATAAGAACCACTCTTATTGGGCAGCAAACACGCTGCGGCACCCACAGGACTCAGCCTTGCAGGACTCATCTGCACTCCCTCCTCATTTCTGAACTACCTGTCACCCGCAACAGAACAGCAAAGGAATCAACCCGAACCAAGAAGCAGGAGAAGGATCCTGTGATCCTTTCCCTTATGATATGAAATCAGCACATTGGCACAGTTGTAATTTCCAAAGGGAAAAAAAAAAAAAAGAAAAAAAAAAAGGTTGTGACCAGACTGAAGTTGAGATGAAAGCGGGTAGGCTGTTGCATCTCTCAGGATTTGAAGACAAGCACGTATGTATGCAACCTGTCCACACCTCCCAAATCCTAAACATGCTGACAAAAGACATGCAAAAAGGAGCTTGTTTCACATATGAGTGTGCAATATTGCTAGAGGTCTCTCCCACAGGTAGGAGGAAAGTTCACTTCAGCAAGACAGAGAGCCCTGAGAAGCAGCACTCCCTGTATCCTGAGCACAGGCCTTCCATCCCTTGCCGCTCTACGTAGATATAAAAGACAGGTCATGGCAACATCAAGGTAATGCAAGAAAAGAAAAAAACCATTCCAACCCCTCCTACCTGGCATGCATAGAAGTGACCAGTTATTTTCACAACCACCTGATCATTTTCATCAGGTGTCTGGTCACGAGGGACTACAACTTCTGCACTTGTCAAGTTTTGAAGCTCATTTACCTAAAAATAGACAGGAGTCAGAAAAATGAAGCAATATAAAGAAACAAAAATCCCACAACAACCAAGCCTCAAAGATGAAGCTGCTGAGCACAGAAAGAGCATCCTCTAAATTTAAAGCATTCAAATAAGCACACACACACAGAAAGCATCCTCATCCTGCAGCATACTTTGCAAGATGAGCTGCTTGTCTCACTAACATAAATTAACACCAAGTTCCCCTGTTTGTAAAAGTGCTTCAGCGGCTCTAAATGCAACACACAGAAGGTGTTAAATACATCACTTAAAAAACAAACAAAAAAACCCACACAGATACATGCCAGTTAGACAGTATTTACAGCTGAGTTTACGAGTTTAAGGTCAGAACACTTATGTCACATATAATGTAAGGAAAAAAACTGCCGAATTTTTTCCTTGAAAAGCCTTCATAAGACAGAACTCTGAACACCTACAATTAAGAAATAGCACCAGCTTTAATGTAACCTCATGGAGTTAGCTATTAATTAGCCAAATGTTTAATCTTTATGGGTGTATACACACTTAAATTGGAGTAACACAGAAGTTTTAGTTCTGGTACTTACTGTTTTGCCTCCTTTACCAATAACTCTACCAGCAGCATAGGATGGCACTTTTATATGAGCCTCAAGTTTCACTTCTTCTTTAGGTCCAAAGAAATTTTCTTCCTTAAGTTTTCCATAGATTCTCCCTTGAGCCTGCAAAAATATTTTCAGTTAAACAGTGCCTACTGAAATCCAGTTAACTTTAAACAAAAAAACACGCAGAAAGGGGAACTCACGATACACAACCCTAATAAAAACTTTCCCTCAATAAATACAGTAACTAGGTTTCTAAAAGTCTTTGTACCACCTGCAAACCTGGTTATGAAGGAACAACTTGGAGATCATTATACCATTCTATTTGCCATGAAATACTGCTTTTAAAATAAACCGTTACATTCCTGCAGAGGTAAAGAATAGTGGAGCGAAGAAGAGCCATGTGGCCAAATTGTGTTTTTATTACTGCCAGGGGCACAGAATGTCATTAATTGGTTCAAAAATATATTAAGGAAGCTAAAATGAGCCATGGCTTCTTTGACCACAAACTGCATACCTTTATGTTCAGTTACACAATATTTTGGTTAAAAAATAAAAATAAAACAGGAATTGCTCAGTTTTCTAGTGTCAAAAAATGAATTCTGCATAGATCTAACTGGCACAAATGGGCAGCTGCCTGTTCTGGGCAGGGTGGGTACAAGTGCCAAGCAGCAACGAAAACGTCCCCCGAGACCGGCTGCTGCCCCTCACCGCTACCTCCCCTTCTGCCCTCTGTCCCTCGCCATGTTTTAAGATACCGCCTT